GTGTACAGCAAAAGTGATTCAGTTATATGTATATATGTGCATATATATGTATTTTTTCAGATTCTTTTCCATTATGGTTTATTACAGGATATTGAATATAGTTCCCTGTGCTCTACAGTAGGTCCTTGCTGTTTATCTATTTTATGTACGGTAGTTTGTATCTGCTAATCCCAAACTCCTAATTTATCCCCCCCTCCCTTTCAGCTTTGGTAACCATAAGTTTGTTTTCTATGTCTGAATAAATCACGGTTTTTTTAAAAAATACTCCACAGAGATTTTTTTTTAAGCATCTTCATTGGAGTATAATTGCTTTACATTGTTGTGTTTCCAAAGAGATTTAGAAAGAACAAGTTCAAAGATACCCTGAGGGAACTTGGTGACTCAGATGGCAGACAAATAAATTACACCTTTGGTTCAGACTAATTCTGTGTGTGTGCTTCTAGAAAACATATGCAAGCAAATGTGAATAGTTTCCCAGAGTTTAATTGGTTTAATGTATTAATCACTATGTTGCAAAGCTAGCAAATATAATTGCGGAAAGAAAATTCAGTTGAAGATTTCATTTGTCAGGGAAATATTTACCTCTGTTCTCTGCAGACCTCTATCCCAGCAGTGGAGTAGTCCTCTTCATTGAGACTTTGTGTCACCAGAGAAACCAAAGTGCTTCATTGACCTTTGCAACATTGAACTGGAAAAGAAATGGGCAGATTAGCTGGGATCAGCTAGAAAGATTCCCAGTCTGCTGGGGAAAACCCACAGGGACCCAGTTGTTTGTTTCTTACACTTCATGTTTCTATGAAGGAAGCCCGGGTCACCCTCAAAAGAAATCTGTTTTTGAAACAGACTCACAGATGTAGAGAACAGATTTGTGGTTGCCAAGGGGAAGCAGGGGAGGGAGGGCTGGAGGGGGAGTTTGGGGTGAGCAGATGAAAACTACTATATACAGAATGGATAAACTACAAGGACCTACTGTAGAGCACGGGGAACTATAGTCAATATCCTGGGATAAACCATCATGGAAAAGAATATGAAAAGAAAGAATGTATGTATGTGTATAACTGAGTCACTTTGCTGTACAGCAGAGACAGACACAACGTTGTAAATCAACTATACTGCAATTAAAAAAAAAAGAAACCCATCTTTCAAAAGGAAAGGGGCCAACACGGTATTCTCTGCCTCCAAGTTTATGGGGATGTGCTCACAGCCAATGAACTCTAATCTTAGAATCACGTGGGAAGGAGAACGATTAGAATGTTTAGTCCCCTAAGAATGTATTGCAGAATACATTCTACACATCACTAATCTTTCCTGGATTCCTCGGAGGAAACAAAGCATCTGAAAATACAGTTCTCTGGCCTCAGGGAGCTTGGGTTTTTATTTGAGACTACCTGGGACACTCACCGTCTCCCTAAGGGAGAGAAAGAGAGAAAATAAAAAGCAGACGATCTGGAGTCCAGGCTTGATGGAGGTGCACAGGCATTTCCTGGCAGCAGCTGGTGGTCTGTTCTCTCTTCTTTCCTCCCTGCCCTTGGATACTTCCCCAGGGAGGCCCTCGAGCATCACGATTAAGAAGGTGAGCGGTGGGGTCAGCAAGACTCCACGTCAGGTTCAAGTGTGAGTCAGTGGGATCTCAGGGAAGTTACTTAAACGTTCTCATCCGTAAAATGGGGATAATCACACCTACTTCGCGGGCAACCGTAAGGCCTCAATGAGCCAGGACGGAGAGGTGAGACAAAGTGCTGGGACACGGGGCCGTTTCTCCCACACACATGCTCCTTGGTGAACATAATTCCTCATGGCCTGGGTCCTCGCCTCCAGAGGCACGAATTGACACAGGGAGGGAACACATGCTAAAGAGTTCCCATTTCAGCTTCTGAGCTCCAAAACAGACTCTTCTTCTCCTGTTCTTAAGATTTTTATTGAGATGTAACAAAGTACACACATTGTAAGTGTACAGCTCAACCACAAAATACATACATTTCTAAACTGAAAGGTCCACAAAGTGACCCACACCATGAATGGAAAGACACCCTTATTAAGGCACCTTGCTGAGATATTAAAACGCCAGGAGGAAGAGAAGACCCTAAAATCTTCCGGGGTGGGGGGGAAGGTCACATACAAAGACAAGAGTATGCAAATTTTAGGAGGGCGTCTCAAAAGCCGTAATGGAAGCCAGAGGACCAGGGAGACATGATTCTCAACGTACCCAAGCGTCCGTCCGGAGGGAGGGGAGAGTAAAGGCATTTATCAGATATTCACGGTCTAAAAATATTGACATCTCACACACCCTTTCTTGTGAGTTATTAGAGGCTGTGCTACCAAAACAGAGAATGAGGAAGGCATGGACCCCAGAGGACAAAGCATCTAAAACCAGACAGAGGCAGAGAGCGTCCAGGCTGAGGCTGGCAGGGGCGCGGAGGCTGATGTGATCCCGCGTGGACTGCCGTGGAGGACCGGAGTGAGGGTTTAGGAGGAACGGCTCCTAGGAAAACTGGAGCTGGTCAATCAGATGGCTGCTGTGTTTGGCCACGTAGGCAAACAATAGTATTCAGAGGATTTTCACGATGCTGTTGGAGGGGGAATTCGCAAAGCAAACAAAAATGATTAACCCCCAAATGACAACTATTATTAGATCCAGGGGCAATAGTTTAAAAGATGTGTAAGGAATGAATTAAATCACGTGTTCCTGGTTTTCATGAGGTAAGTGCAGGCTACTGATCTGTCCCATGATGTGAGGCACTGCAGGCCAGGTGATGCGTGGACAAAGCCCGCATTTTTCATGACAGGAAGTCCGTGGATAATGTCTAAAATCAATAAATCAAAAAGTAATGGTCTTGGGCTTCCCTGGTGGCGCAGTGGTTGAGAATCTGCCTGACAATGCAGAGGACATGGGTTCGAGCCCTGGTCTGGGAAGAACACACATGCCGCGGAGCAACTAGGCCCGTGAGCCACAACTACTGAGCCTGCGCGTCTGGAGCCTGTGCTCTGCAACAAGAGAGGCCGCGACAGTGAGAGGCCCGCGCACCGTGATGAAGAGTGGCCCCCGCTCGCTGCAACTAGAGAAAGCCCTCACACAGAAACGAAGATCCAACACCCAAAAAATAAATAAATTTATTTAAAAAAAAAGTAACGGTCTAATGATAACATTTAGAATTACTGCCATAAACAGTGGAAGAGAAACGTTAGAGGTGCCGTGTTCCATCACGAGACTTGTGGTTCTGTTTGATTTTAATTGTGTAGTTGTATCACTTTGATAATTTTTAAAAAGGAAAAGGAAACTCAGAGGCGATGGTCTTGTTGAGAAAAGAGCTTTTGGTCTGCAAGAGCGGGTGCTGCAGAACTGAAAAGTTCAGGCGCTGAAGCATCCAGGCGTGAAGCGAAGGCCGTGAACAGTGCCTGGAGGGGCGGACGGCCAGCAGCGTCCTGGCCTCGGAACTAGACCAGCATCTAGGGCAAGGCCCGGGCAGGGCGGGCTAGCTAGAGGCAGCACTACGGTCGACTTTCCACTCTGTGGGCCAGACCTCTGGTGGGAAATGGAAATAGACGCCCGCAAGAAGTTTGGGAATTTGAGAGTAGGAGGGCCTCATGCCCCACTCCCAGGAGAAGTCTGGGGTCACAGCAAGCCTTGTAGAGGAGACCCCAGCCCATTGCGGTGTGGACTGTGGCAGCAGCAGAGGGCAGGTGACAGCCAAGCGTGCTGGCTGCACAGGGCCCCCGAGAACCCCCCTTATCTGCTGGCCCTAAACCTTCATTCCCCCTGTGTAAGTCAGGATGGGCTAGGTGTGTGATGGTAACACCCCACATCTCAATGGCTTAAAGTGATGAAGTTTCATTTCTTGCTCAGGCTGCACGTCCCTCCTGAGAGGAGATGTGTCTGCTTCACCCGGTCGTCACCCCAAGACCCGGAGGGATGGAAACGCCACCGCGTGAAGCGTTTCTGACGACCGAGGTACAGCAAGGGGGTGACCGGCTCCCGGGCTCTTCTAAGTCTCCACCTGGAAGTGACGGACGTCAGGTCTGCTCGCACTTCATCGACGTGCCCCAGGGTCCCCCAGAGTCCAGGGGATGGGAAGTGCAATCTCTTCACGAGCCCCAAGAGGAAAGAAGCCTGTGAGAGTTAGAAGCCCCAGGGGCCTCGGCACTGGGGAAGGAAAACAGAGGGCGTGGCCGAGCCAGGGAGGGGACGCTGGGGTGGAGTCCGACGCCCAGGACCCCCAGGGAGAGGCAGTGCGCTTGCGAGCGGGCGGAGTGTGGCCTCAGAGGCCCGCTGGTGGGGAAGGCGCGGGGCCCCCCAGCACGGACTGCGTTTCCTGTGAAATGAGCGAGTGATCCTGGGGGCGGAGGTTTCGGCCTCCAAGCAGAACGGAGACTCGAGGAAGAGATGAGACTGAGGAAGAGCGACAGTGAGGCCCCTCTTGCGCACCTGAGCTCTGTGTCCTGCCACAGTTCTCTGTGTCTGTGGACCCCTCACCCCCTGCACGGCATCTAGCAGGGGGTCACCGTCCGACGGGTGGTCGCCCCGCCTGGGCTTCGCTCCGTCCTCGCTCTAGAGCTCGGTTCTTGTTCCGCGGCTGCCAGGCTGAGGATTCGGGGTGCCGCAGCCAGGCCTCTCCGGAGAGGAGACGGTACGTGGAGGAAGACTTGGGTAGATTGGGCCACGACGCCGGGGGCTCCCGCGGGGCCCCCGCTGCCCACACCCTCCCACGTGCGGGCAGGACCTCGCGGCCTCTCTGTGATGGGCTCCGTCTCCACCGCTCTGACAGTCGCGGCTGCCACTGAGTTGCCGGCGTGGAGCATTGATCTCACTTAAACCTCAAATGACGACGTGACTCCTGACCCGGTTGCTTTCTAAACGCGGATGAGAAGTGAAGAAATGACGCTTCCCTCCCATACAGGGCCTGGGGTCTCTAGGGTAAGCTGGCGTCCGGGAGCCGAACGCAGAGGGCCCGTTACGGGAAGCTGGCTCCGGTGCTGGTCTGCGACCCCGGCGGCGGTGGCTCCGGTGCTGGTCTGCGACCCCGGCGGCGGTGGCCGGGGGCAGACCCTGACTTGCTGGACCTTGGTTTGTGTGTCTGCGACGTGAGTGGATTCAACAGATCGTCTCCTGAGGTCACCCCTGGTTTTAGCTTTCGGGTCGTTTGTGACTGCCGAGGCCAAGGGGAAGGGAGGCCGATGGGGGAGAAGGGACACGAGACAGGAGGAGAGGGTGAGTGAGGAGGGGATCCCGGGGCGGGGGTGGGGGGGTGCAGCGTGGCGTGTGCCCCCCACCCCCACCACCACCTCCTGGACGTGCTTGTTAAATGACGGCGCCACAGCTGAGCAGGGAGCCCTCAGCCACGCATCTCAAGACAGAGGAGTCTCGGCATTTATTTCAAAGACGGTAATTTCATTTTCCAGGGAGAATTCTCGGTACAAAGAGTTGACGTGGGCCATTAAATTCTTACCTTTCAGCATACCTGCCTAAAAGCTATGCGAACAGCAGTGTCTTGTATTTCCTAGGAGCCAGCACTTTCTAAGGATGGCAGTGACCTAATCCATCCTCATGACACTGTGACATCAGTGCTGAGAAGACCCCAGTCTCCCTGGCACATGCCCCCTGCGGCTTAGAGAGGTCAGGTCTCTGTCCAGCGGGAAGGCAGAAACGCCAAGGTTCAATCCGACGTCTGCTTTATTGTGAATCCCGTGCTTTTCGCCCCTGGCCGCCGGCTGCGACCCGACACCCTTACGGAGGAGGAGGGCTCCTTTTGCCCTCGGGCTCAGCAGCATGGTCCACTTCTCCGCCTCCCCTTCATCCTGGTATTTTTTATTCTCCATCCTTTGGAACCAGCACCGCGGTCATAAAGGAAAGCAGAAGGGAGGGCGGGCGTTGAGAAGCCTCCCTCCTGCCCGCCTGGAACCACACTCCCCAGCCCTGCTTCCTGGTGCCTCTGGGCTCCTTTCTCTTTGCAAAAACAGGAACTTAGAAATGCGTGTTCTTGTTTCCTACTTTCTTACCCCAAAGTTGGCACACCAAATTAGACCATACTTTGCACTTACTCTGTCATTACTCAGCGATGTGTCCGGAAAATACTGTGATTTTAGTTCCCAGGGAGCTTCCTCGTTCCTTCTCACAGGGACAGGCGGTTCCACCGGGTTGGGTAAGTCATCGGTTTACTTAGCCAGGTCCTCGGATCCGGCCACTAGGCGGTTTCCATGTGTTTCAGAACCACAGACAACGCCTTCTGGGAGTCACCTTGCAGAGGTCCGTGCCCACCCGTCAGCTGTAGCCCCAGGAGCGGGTCACTGAGGCAGGGGAAAGTCCATCTGACACCTTGCTGGCCGTGACGCTCGTATGGGCAGTTGAGTAGACCCATCGAGAAAGGAGAACAGTGTTGGCCTCCCTGGCTCCCGGGCAACAGAGTGTTTTGTCGAACTTTTGTCTTTTTTCCAGTCTGATCGAGGAAAACTTGTATCCTTGTGTAGTTTTACTGCTCGTGTCTCTGACTGTGACGCTTGCGTGTCTTTTGGACCGCATGTATTTCTTATTCTGTGAACCGCCCATGACCTCGGCCCATTTTTCTGTCGGTCCTGTGGTCTTTCTTGCTTTCATCTCTGAGAGCTCTTCATATATTTTGGAGAAAAACACTTTTCTGTGTCGTGAGGTACAAATATTTCCCCTAGTTTTTGCCCTTTTTCCCCACTCTGTGTTGTGCTTTGGTTTTGGCTTCTCTGTGGACACTGCTGTTGTTTACATTTGCAATTATTAATCTCTGCTTTTTGGCTGCTGGATTTTGAGACATGGTTTGACATGTCAATCGACTCTGATGTTATTCTGTCAAAGTTCCAACAGGAATGACACGGCACACTCAAATTAGGGTGATTTTAAGGCGGGGGTTACGTACAAAGGGACTACTGACAAGGGCCTGGGCAAGTTTTAGGGGCGTCCCAGGGGCAGTGCGAGAATGGGGGCCCAGCAGCAACCGAGATGCATCACCCCTGGGCCCCTGGGGATGAGGGGACAGAGGAGTTATGCAGCCTGGAAGGAGAGAGCTGTGTAGGCCAAGCCTCCTAGAGAGGGGCCCTCGTCTGCGGAGGAAACCAGGAACGGAACACCCTGCCCTCACGTCCCTGCTTCCCTCCTGTCTGGTCGTGGCTGTTGGGAGAAGCCTGCTGGCAGCGTCCATGTGGGCAGCCGTCCAGGGCACAGAATGAGGGGTGAGTGGTCCGAGCTCTGTGGGGCAGGTGTTGGGGAGAAGAGGCGGGACCCACTTCCAGACCCCCTCAGCAGCACTTACGGGGTCTTACTTTTACATTTACAACTTTGTCCCGGTGGAGTTTCTCTGGATGTACCATGTGTGGCGTGGGTCCTGCTTCTCCGACAACTATCCACGTGTCCCTACGCTGCTTATCACAAAATCCACCTTTACCCACACTGGTCATATATTCATGTCCCATGTGCACTTGGCTCTATTTCTGGACTTTCTCTTTTGTTCCACTGGGCTGTCCATTCATATTCTGTATTCATCACCAAGGCCTTGTGATGGGCTTTAAGAACCGGGAAGATCAATCCCTCCTCATTTTCCTTCTATTTCAGGGTTTTCCTGGGCTACCTTGCTTGTTTATTTTCAGTGGATTTGCTTGTCTACTTCTGAAGGAAGGAAACTTGTTAGGACATTTAGGGAGATTATGTTAAATTTATACACTTATTAACTGAGGACTCACATCTTTAGAACATAGTTGATTTCTGCTTTAAAACAATGATTTGTCAAGAGACCTGGTTGTTCCTGGGTTTTGACACCGCCAGCAAGCAAAGAAAGAAACCTGACAGACACGACCTTGCCAGGTGAGGAAAGCTCTTGTTTGCAGTGATGGGACAAGCTGACATCTGGTCCCTCCTGTGGGATGAATTGAGAACCCATCTCTCAGGCAGTGTTCCTGCCAAAATGCAAAACCTGCAACCGATCATGAGAACACGTATATGCAAAATCGAATTGGGAGCGCTCTCTAAAGGAGGGGCCTGTACTCCTCACGAATATCAGCCCTGTCACTTATACGTCAAAGCTGAAAAGAATCTGTATCTTTAAGGACAAAGAAATGATGAGGACCTGGTCTAGATTAAAAGAGATGAAGGGAGGGCTTCCCTGGTGGCGCAGTGGTTGGGAGTCCGCCTGCCGATGCCGGGGACATGGGTTCGTGCCCCGGTTCGGGAAGATCCCATGTGCCGCGGAGTGGCTGGGCCCGTGAGCCATGGCCGCTGGGCCTGCGCGTCCGGAGCCTGTGCTCTGCAACAGGAGAGGCCACAGCAGTGAGAGGCCCGAGTACCACAAAAAAAAAAAAAAAGAGGTGAAGGGGACGTGGCAACTCCAGTCACCGTGTGGTCCTGTGTGGATCCTGGATCAGGAAAAACATACCCACCAAGGACGTGAGGGGACCACTGACAACAGAATCCGCAGGGTAGGTTAGATCGTAGTGTTATTTCAACGTCAAATCACCTGACCTGATCATTGTACTGTGGTTATGTCAGGGAACTCTCCTGTTCTTACATAATGCATGATGAAATATTTTGGGGTAGAGAGTGTCTGCTACGAACTTTCAAATTGTTCACAAAAAATAATAGTCTAGGGCTTCCCTGGTGGCGCAGCGGTTGAGAGTCCACTTGCTGATGCAGGGGACGCGGGTTCGTGCCCCGGTCCGGGAAGATCCCACATGCCGCGGAGTGGCTGGGCCCGTGAGCCGTGGCCGCTGAGCCTGCGCGTCCGGAGCCTGTGCTCCGCAACGGGAGGGGCCACGACAGTGAGAGGCCCGCGTATCACAAAAAAAACAAATAATAGTCTACATATAAATGTAGAGAGGAGTAATAAAGTAAATGTGGCAAAATGTTAATAATCGATAACTGGGTGAAGAATACCTAGGAATTCTTGGTTCTATTCTTACAACTCAGTGCTGGAGGTTGGCTTCTAGACCGCGGTGCTAACGCTCTTCTCTGCGGCATCTCCACAAGGCCCAACGTCAGGTGCCGCTGGGTAGGGCTGGTGAGGTGCCAGGCGGCTGCCAGGCTCCGGCCACAGTAAAACTGGGAGAAACAACGATAATGGCTGAGCTCGGACAGCTCCGGGCCTTACAAAGCACGGACAAGGGCCCCGGGGAGCCAGAGGCCTTGGCGGCCGGGAGCCCAGCCTCCAGAAACCCGCGAGAGGTTTGTACACAGATGTGCTGCTCCAGGAAAGGACCCACAGATCAATCCTGTGGGTGCAGAGGAAGGCTTAGGGTCAGTGACAGAGGGCACAGGGCTCAGGAAACAGGAGCTCTTTCTCAGACGGTCCCAGAAGCGCTAAGAGGTGGGAGCCCGAAGGAGCAGTGTGGGCGGGGGGAGGGGGGAGGCTTGCCTGAGGATGTGGGACCCGGGAGCGGGGGAGGGGAAGGGGCCTCCCACCCGGGCCAGAGTCTTGGGAAATGGGATCCAGCTTTGCTGGCTGCTCTAGGGCTGTGCTTGGAAGGCAGCTGGAGCGTGTGTGAGCATCTCTGCTGTGTGTGTGTGTGCGTGGCAGAGACAGCGAGACGTTAGGAACGAGGCCCATCTTGGGTACCTGCTGGTGCCGGATTGTAACTGGGTTCCACTAAGTTCTTATCCCCCATCCTTGGCGGCAGCAGGTTGAGGAGCGGCCCAGCTGGGCAGCAGTGGCCCAGAGTGCCATCGGCAGGGACCACCGCAGTGGGCCCCTCTTAGGCTTCCTGAGTTCTCAAGCTGGGGTGTCCTGGGTCCCTGTGCTTTGCTTCCGACGGCAGTCCTGACGCAGGATGGGCCTTGGGCGACCAGAGCCTTTGCTCCCCCTGCAGGGGTCCGCAGGGGCCTGGGGGTCCCTCCCTGGGGACTCTCCTTAGTAACCAACTGGTGAAGGAGTTTGAAAGCCCAGGCCCTTGCTTTGACGGAAGACAAACTCCAAGTTGTAATTTTCCCTCCAGAATGCCTCCATGGAGGGAATGGATGGGCCACCCCCCATTTCCTGCCCTGCTGCCTGCACCCCTCAATCAGTTTTCCCAGGGGACCTGCCGGAGTAGATCACATGCACACAGCCCTGGCCTCGGGCCCTGCTTCTGGGAAGCCTGACGTGAGATGACCACTAACACAGTCCAAGAAATGACCGAACGCGGGAGAAACCTACCCTCAGGACTTAGAGGCCATCCACGCATCTGAGCCTCCCGGGTAAGACTCTGCTCCGTCAGCCTCCTTTCAACGGCTCCGAGAGAGCTGGTGTCGAGTTTGAGCTTTGCCTGGAGGGGCGGATGGGAGGGCGGCTGGAAGCAGCTCTCAGCTCTGCCTCAGAATAGACGTGGAATCATAACAATTTCACTGAAACGTCAGCTTTCTTGGGGCCCACAGGAGCCTCCAGCTGACCCTGCTTCCCGGGGGGAAGGAGGAGGGCTTTCTGCTGCGCCCTCTGAAGAGCGACCAGGAAGGGCAGAGGGGGCCGGGATGGAGAGGGGCACGCCTGGCGGAGGTTCTGGTCCCTGACCCGTGTGCTGAGCCTCAGACGGTGGAGCCAGACGCGACGGTGACGCTCCGTGACCATGTGGGACACGTCACAGCTGGGTGTCTGGCGCGTCCTGGCAATGGCCTGTCTCTGCAGGTCTGAGAAGCACCACAACGTTCTTTACAAGGTTGACACGGGAGCTGGGCCCTCGCACGTCAGCCCCGTCCTCCCTGCATCTTAAGTCTGAGCTCTGATGGGACTTCTGTACCAAGAGCGAATTAACAGGGTAAATGATGTTCAACTAAAGAGTTCAACCAGCACACTGTGATGTAGCCGAGCTTGTGTCCGAGCAGAGGACCATCCACACAGGGGTGAGTCGCTCTTCTGAGCTGATTTAATATTTCCAGTGTTAGCATTTGAATGTTGGATGAACTTGTTTCCCTGGTGTGAAATTCAAGATTTGTAAATTCAAACAGACGATGAAACGATCTAGAATTAGTCACTGATAGCCTCTAACTGAATAAATCACTGGCTTGCTTGCTAGTTCTCTGGGATTGCCAAGATTATACGTCTAAACGAGGTAGGAGTTCCCCTTCCCCGTGTGTGCGCGTGCACGCGCGCACACACACACACACACACACACACACAGAGTCGCTAAACTGTCACAGCAGTGTAATAATCTGACCTCTGAGAATTGCATGCAAGGACTAGAATACAGGCTAGAAGATGTGGGGCAGTCCATCCCGCTCTGTATGGGGATGATGTTCTAACAGTCAGAGCTCCCCCAGATGAAATGGGGGTCCATCCGCAAGGAGACCCGCTGTCTCGGAACTGCTGGGAGGAGGAGGATGGAGCAGAGTCTTACCCGGGATGCCCAGACGGGTGGACGGCCTCTAAGGCAGGTGGCTCTCAGCTCTGAGGTCCACGGTCCTGCGATGGCACACCTTAAAGACAGGACCTGGGAGGTCTTCCATTTCCTCCCCCAAGTTCTTACTTCCTGCTCACGGATCCACCAAATAGCCTCTCCGCATTCTCCTTTGAGAGAACCTGGGCTGACTCACCCTGACAGAGCAGTTTGGCTTTGTGAGCCCCTGACACCCACCTTCTCCCCTTAGTTTGTGAGCCAGTGTCCCCTGAAACCCCAAACTTCAGCTCGATTAAGCCTGTTGTTTCTTCAGGGTCACAGTGGAACAGCCAGGCCTGCTGAGGGAAGTTCCCCGCTCCCCATCGTCCCCCCTCTCTTCCCATCCCCCTCCCTCCCCTCCCCATTCCCCTCCCTCCCCCTCCCTCCCCACTGCCTCCATCTCCTTCACTCCCGCCCTCCCTCCCCCTCCCCCTCCCTCCCCATCCCCCCTCCCTCCCCACCGCCTCCATCCCCTTCACCCCCGCCCTCCCTCCCCATTCCCCTCCCTCCCCTCCCTCCCCCTCCCTCCCCCTCCCCTCCCTCCCATTACCTCCCCACAGGCTACCCTGTATCTCTCCTTACTCCCTATCGTCCCCCTTCCCCCCAACTTCTCTGCAAACCGAGGGAGCAGGAGTAATGCAGCCGAGCGTGGCCTTTCTGCAGCGAGTCCCACAGACCAGAGAACCTTCCAGAAGAGGTCACGGTGCTCTGCGGCCTAAAGATGCAGGAGGCCAGATTGCTCATTTCCTTCGTTCAAGAGCTCCACTGGGGCCGGTGTGTCTGTCCTCTGCCCCTGGACCGTAACTGGGAGTCGGATAAGAGCCTCCGCTCCCGTAATCCCCAGGGAGTCCTCCACGATGAAGCTCCTGCCGCCGTCCCCGGCCCTGCCCGGGGCACCCTGGCTGCAGTGTGACCACCCATAGCCAACGTGTGGAAGGAAGTGAGCTTTCCCTTCCCAAACAGTCTCCGGGGGCATCACTATCAGCTGACTGGTTCACACCTTGGACATTGCAAAGTAAAGCACTTGACACCATCACAAATTCGCGTGGTTATGCGCAGGGACCACTCTCCAGGGAGGCAAAAAAATAGCCCTGGGCTGGGACAGGACGCTGTCCCCCCCCGTGGGAAGCCGTGGTCTATCTGGGCATCCATCTGTCTTCTCCTCCGTGGAGAGAGCGCTGGGCACAGTGACCTCCGAGGTCCAGCCAGCTTGAAACCCGTCACTTGACAACTAGGGGAGAGTTTAAATGAGTATGTACTTTTCTCCACCCTCGCCGCAGTTCTTCTTAGTTAGCTTACAAAATGAGGAAATCAAACCAAACCTGGACACAAAATCCCACCCCGGGGTCAAGATATTTGTAGAGTGTGTATCGGCTCCAGCCCTCGACCTTGGCCACCAGTGTCTGTGCTTCCCTCTCCTGAGCAAATGGTCCTGATACTCACGAGGGACACAGCTGTTTCCTGCCCACCTTCCACCAGAGTTCTGCAACCTCCGTGCCTGCTGCGTTAACACCTCTCTGGGGGATGACGGACGGGACATTGCGGGGATCGGAGCAAAGGTGAGCCAGAGCCGGACATCCCAGCGAGTGGCTCTTCAGGCAGAAGGGAGCACTGGGGTCCTGACGGGCTTGGTGGGTGAGTCAGCCCAGGGACGGCAGACACAGCCTGTCAGGTCCCAGATCTGTAAGTGAGCAGAACATCGACTGCACTGGGGCAGGGAGGGAGGGAGAGCCATTCACACCCGATGGGTGCAGATCAAAAGGCATGAGGCAGGCAGCCCCGGCTTTCCTTCCCAAGGGCCTGTGAGTAAGAGCTGAGGCCGGCTCCGTGCCAAACCTGAGTCCCCTGTGCTGCCTTCCAAGCAGGTTGGAGGCGAGCTGGCGTGGGAGGGGAGGGCGGACAGTGGACGTCACGGCGGGTCACAGCCTGTGGGTGTCCAGCGCGCCTGGCGGCATCTGTCAGCATCTGCTTACTTCTGAGCCAGTCTGCATTCAGCAGAGCACGGAAGGGGCTGAGCCCCAGGAGCTGGCGGCTATCACCCCTGGCTTCTTACAAGCAGATTCTCTGGTCCGAGGATGAAATCACTATGTTGCCAGAGAACACGGCTTTAGGTCAGGGGACATGATATACACTCCAGAGAAGAAGGAGGGAATTCGTTTTCCTTTTCTGCACAGGGTTCAGCCCAGCTGTGGAAGGATGTGCCCTCTCCCCGTCAGCTCCGTCTGGAATTAACCTCCCGGAGTCAGACTGTTGGGTGCAAAAGAGAAATGAAACAATGTAGTCCTTGGAAACTGGACGCCATGTACCTCCAAGGGTGCGAGATTCCAGAGGGCATACGGGCACTGGCTTAGTTGTATGTTATCTAGTACAACACGCTGCATAATTAGCAACAAAATAATCCAATTTAGCAAATCTATGTACCGAGCACGCTGCTAGCTGCCAGGGCTTCAAATATAACTAGGTCTCTGGCTTATTGATACACTTTCTGGTGGTTTTGACGGTTGTCAGGGAGGAACTTAGTATTAGAATTGCTTCATGGGACAACTTCTTAAGCAGTCACTGGGGTCTTTAAAAGAATACAAATCATTACATTTAAACTTTATTTATTTTATAAAAGGACAAAAATAAATTAAAGTTGTTGAGACTTAAATGTTTCTTTACCACAAAAGAGATTATTCCTCTTAGTATAAGAGATCACAGAAGATTGAGTTCACGTGCACACACGCCTACAGTGGTCTATACTGTACGTCTCGATGTTAGGAAGTATCGATCGTCTCCTTCCAAATGCTGCTTCCATTTTCTCTCTTCTTCCTCTTCATTTTATTGTTGTATTATTATTGTTGGTTGAATTGAGTTTCCCCAAAAGACATGTCCGAGTCCTAAGCCCTGGTACCTGTGAATGTGACTTCCTTTGGAAATAGGGCATTTGCAGATGTAATCACGTTAAAATGAGGTCATATTGGATTGTAAGTAGTGGGCTCTAATCCAGTGATTGGTGTCCTTACAACGAGAGGGACATTTTGACACAGACACACAGAGGAAAGAAAGCTGCGTGGAGACAGAGGCTGAGGCTGGAGTGGGACGTTTACAAGCCTTGGAACGCCAGGGGCTGTGGGGAGCCACCAGAAGCTGGGAAAGGGGCCTGGAACAGATCCCCCTCGGAGCCCCCAGGAGGAGCAAATCCTGCCATCACCTTGATCTTGGACTTCTAGCGCCCAGGACTGGGAGACAAGACATTTCTGTTGTGCCCAGTTTGTGGTACTTTGCTACGGCAGCCCTGGGAGACTAATACAGTCATTTTAACATTGTCCAGGTTTACCTTAATCACAGTCTGTTTGGTAAAGATAGTTCTTATGGTGTGTGACATACGCTTTATCTTTAAACAGATTCACTGTTCACCACCTGTGCCTTTAGCTGTGCACTCTCCCTTTTCTCTCCACAGTTATGTCCTCATCTTTGGACTCTCGGTGAATTCCTGCCCCCTCCCTCCCCTCCTCCCTCCCTCCCCTTCCACCGTCCCCCTCCCTCTCCCCCTTCCCTCCCTCCCTCTGTGCTGGATGCTGGCGTAGCTGCTCAGCGGGTCCTTTTCATCTGACACCTGCTTGAGGAGCTCCCTCCAGACATTCTGTTTGCCCCGAATTAAAGCAGTGACTTGACATGACTCCTTCCTTCTCTGAGACTAGGTTGTTTTTCTCTACAAGCAGTTTTGAAGTCTGTTTCTCTTTCTGTTGCCTTGGAGAATTGCATGGGTGGAGGGAAGGACTTGGAGTGACATGATCGGGTACATTTGTTGGACTATCTGGACATTTCTTCTTGAACCAGGACCTGCTCCACCTCACAGCAGAGTGCACCCTGTTCGCATGGGGAAACACCCTGGGATTCGGGGCATTTCCCTCGGGCAGCGTGCTCTCCTGCAGCCTGACTGCAGCCCTCGCTCACCCTCCTCCTTATTTTACCCATTTCTCTCTCACCACTGATTCCACCGGCTCAGAGGAGAGAGACAGCCCTCCTCTCAGCTTGGTGGACCCTCCAGTGAGGCTTCCAGGACGGGGGCTGTGAAGACTGGCCGCGCTGGGTCTATGCCCTGTGCTCCACTCCGGAATCCGTCCTTCCTTGGCTTCCAGTTTTTTAAATGTACTTTTTCTGGTTATACTCTTTTCCTCCTTGGTGTTGTTGGGAAATTCTCTCTTTTTTTTTTTTTTTGCCAACTTAAATTTTTTTTTCTTATTTTTATTGAAAATTGGGAAGGGAAATTCTGTAAAGCCGTCTCATTTTTAATAGTGAACTTACGTTGAGCTGATGTTTGACGTAATAGCAGCTAATATGATAATAATAGTGACGAATGCGACTGGGTAGATGGATGAAGGCATTGTTACTCAGACTTCTAATCCCATCACCCTTATCCAGGGACTTGGCCAAGAGGAAAAGGACCCCCAGGGATGACATCTGTTTGAGGGGCGGCACATGAGGGTTCTCCAGAGAAACAGAGCCAACAGGATCTATGTCTCTATATCTACATCTTTATCCATATCTATACCTATATCTATTTGTCTGTTTTTCTCTATACCTTTTTCCTCCTTCCTTCCTTCCTTTCTTTCTTTCCTTGTCTCTGTTTCTTTCTCTCTCTCTCTCTCTTTCCTTCCTTCCTCCCTCCCTCCTTCCTTCCTTCTTTTAGGTTTATTATGAGAGGTTTATTATGAGAAATGAGCTCATCTGATGATGGAGGCCAAGAAGTCCCATAAACTCAACGGCCCAAGAACCAGAGAAATCAATGGTGTGAGTCGCCCGGGACAGGAGAAGATCCATGTTCCAGCTCAACAGTCAGGCAGAGAGAGAGAGAGAGAGAGCGCCCCCTTCCCCCCATTTTTTCTCTTCAGGCCTTCAGTGGATTGGATGCAGCCCACCCACACCGAGGAGGACAATCTGCTTTACTCAGTTTACGGATTCAAACGCCAACCGCTTCTGGAAACACCCTCGCAGAAATACCCATAATAACATTTAACCAGGTATCTGGGCGACTTGTAACCCAGTCAAGTTGATGCATCAGATGAACTGTGACAGCCAGTATTCAGCAGAATAACTAAGAATTTAGATCCCGGGGTGAGAGAGACACAGGTTTGAATTTTTGGCTCTGCTATTTAAATGCTGTGTGGTCTTCTCTTAGCTTACTTAACCTCTCTGTGCCATAGTTTCCTCATCTGTAAGATGGGAATGAAAAGAACTAGCGCCAGGGCTAGTTGTGAGGTTGAAAGGAGATAAGAAGGGAAAGTTATGAGCTTTATGACTGGAATTTTAGAAGGCTTGAGCTGGAAGGTATCTCAGAGCCAGTCTCATCCTTTCTTATATATTAGGTGGAACAATTAAACTGGATCCCAGAAAATCTCAGCCTACCCGCCTCCGAGGAGAGGGTAGGGTAATAGCATCTGTGCGTGGTGTCCAGAATGGAATTACGAGATCTGTTATAGCAAAGTCATAGATCTCACCGCCATGCAGGGTACTTTGGGAGACAGAGAGCTGGGCCAGTCCGCACAGCCTCCTCAAGTGACCCTACTTGTCAGGGCTGGCCGTGCTGCCAGGATCTTAGGATCTCAGGTCACTCATCATTGGTTATTCTATTTGTGTAAACTGTTTTATTTATCCCAACGAAGCAGTCTTCATATCCCCCCATTTCTCCATGAGTTTTATCTTTTCGCTCTTACTAAATATGACCTTTGGGGGTGGAATTTTTTGAAAAAGCGGTTTGGGGAGGACTGAGAGCCCAGCCATCATCAGTCACGCGTCGATACTTGCCATGGTTTATTCATCACAACGAGCCTTCTGCGCCCAGAGCCCTCGCCCGACACTCCCTCCCTATCCTCGTGTGGCCCGATGATACAGCAGAAAGCGGTCTGTCCTCTTCTTTGGGTCATCCGTGGGGAAACAGAGGCACCACAGTGGTCAGTGGCCACGCAACAACGCCATGTCTGAACAACTCAACCTGCAGACGTCCCTCCTGGGATGGGAAGGGTCTCAAGCCATCAAGTTCCCTTGCAGGCTGCACGACCTGTCGGGTGGGCGCCCACCCAAAGCCAGGGGAGCAGGACCCCTCGAGCAGGGAATGAGGCTATTTGACACTGTGATTTGAACGGCTCTCATTTCCATACGGTGTTTTCCAAGGAAAGAGCTTTAGGGCTGGAAACTCCAGCCCTCTCCTCCGTGGCTTCCTGGCCACGCCCTCCACTGGCCTTCCAGGTGTAGCTGCTGCAGAGGTGTCTTTCTGGCCCTGTCATTCTCTCCCAAACACATGAGGTGCTCAGTACACACTTGTGGAACTGACTTGTATCAATGAATTCATTCATATTCAAAGGATGATGATTTGATAACACTGACAATATTCCAAGTAAATTTCAAAGGCAATTCCAAAACGAGATTTTTTTTGGCCAGGGAAATTAAGTGAGCCCTGGCGGCTGTAAAGGCTTAACACCACAGTGGTTCACCTTGCAATCACATCCAAGTCCAGTGTGGGTCTAGGGTAGCTCTCCTCCAATGGCGACTCGGTCTGGGCTGTTTCTGTCACTGTACCACCCAGGTCATCCCTGACGGAAGGCCACCTCCAGGGTCAAATAGGCATGGTGAAAGTTCTAACTTCCACTGAAACTATCTTGGGTCTTTATAAAAATTGTTAGACTTACAATGCAAATGTTGATTTAAACCAGTGATCAGAGAAGCCTAATGAAAAAGTATCATTACATTCCGAATTACCTTTATCGAGTCATTCTGTTCTTTTATTTTTATTTTTTTTTATAAATTTATTTATTTATTTATTTTTTGGCTGTGTTGGGTCTTCGTTTCTGTGCGAGGGCTTTCTCTAGTTGCGGCGAGCAGGGGCCACTCTTCATCGCTGTGCGCGGGCCTCTCATGGTCGCGGCCTCTCCCGTTGCGGAGCACAGGCTCCAGACATGCAGGCTCAGTAGTTGTGGCTCACGGGCCCAGTTGCTCCGCGGCATGTGGGATCCTCCCAGACCAGGGCTCGAACCCGTGTCCCCTGCATTGGCAGGCGGATTCCCAACCACTGCGCCACCAGGGAAGCCCCCATTCTGTTCTTTAAAGAAATTTATTAACTAGTTATCATGTGTGGAGTCCTGTGCTAGATGGTGTGGGATGCAGAAGAGGTAGAAGGCGTTGCCCACGAAAGTGAAGAATCCATGTGGGGAGATCAACGTGCAGTGAATAAAAGTGAGAGTCTCTGTAGGGGTGAGTCAGTTTCCTCCAGGGGCCCACGGGAGGGACTCTAACCAGGTTGGGGTGAGACTTGGGGGAGGACTGATGAAACAGTAGGACCTTCCGGCAGAGTGGGCTGGGGGAGGAGTCAGAAAGGGGCTCCGGCACAGGGAGCAGCATGGGAAGCCCTGGGGCAGCGAGAGCACGGTGCATTCAGAGATCAGAAAAGGTTCCCGAGGCTGGAGCCTCCGGGCAGAGGAGCTGAGCCGGGCAGAGAGCGAGCAGATGCCAGGCCCCAAAGCGGCGAGCGGGGCTGCATCAGGCTCCGGGCTTTATCCTCTCTCTGCCGGGCCTGCCTTTCCCTCCAGGCCACGGACTCTGTCTTGAGCCCTAAGCTAGCTCTTGAGCACTGGTCAGGCACAAAAGTCCATGATCCCAGGTGAGGTGTTAATGGAGAGATACAGGTGCTCGTGAAAGATGAGCCACCCGTCTGGGGGAAGACGTTGGCCACTCGTGTAACTGAAGAGGATTAGCAACCAGAGGACACAGAGAAGGACTGCAGATCAATGAGAAACAACCCAACAGAAAAACTAGGAAGTGCACTGAAGAGGCATTTCACAGAAGTGGAACCATGAATGGCCAGTAACAAAACAAGATACTCCCAGATCAGTGATCAGGAAAACGCAGAATAAACCTCAAAGGTTCAGGTACTTTCTCCTCCAGGATATTTGCATTTTTATTAAGGATATCAAAGACCAAAAAGCTTTCTGACCCCAAGGGTTGGCCTCAGATGGTGACATTTCCGGTCTTGGGTCAGGTTGGTAGAGAAGATATTTGGGGCGAAGAGTCCCTTGCTTTTTAAATCTCTGCCTCTTTTTATTGTTAGGGAGGTGAGGTAGAAACTGCATTTTTGGTGAATCTAAGCACTTCGTTTAGTGTAATCCTGGTCTCCATATAATAATTAACACAGCCGGCAGTGTCCCCAGGAGAAGCATCCCAAAGCTATCATCGTAGTGGGGTCCCAGCAGACGTTTCCAGCCTCAGCTCATGCAGCAGCCTGATTTCTCATCCCTTGCCTCCTGTACCCCATACTCCAGTCACAGAAAAC